AGATTGTGGTGAAGTTGGGAGTTTGGGGAATGGGAAAGAATCATGGTGTTACCCATCTGCTGGAGCAGGGTGGGGAGGACTTGGAGGAGGTGTCCTGTTTTTGCCACGATGACCTCGAGTTGGCAGTGGGACATCCAGGAAGGTTTATGAGCGGGAGAGGCTGGGTGGAGGCGTCAGCCTGCGAGTCCTCGGAGAAGAGATGAGCTCACCAGGGAGAGGATGTCAAGGGGGCCGAGGATGAGGACCAAGTGGGGTCTGGCTGTGGGGCTGGCACAGAGGCAAGTACATGGAGGGATGCAGTGGTGGGGAGAGGCTTAGCAGGATGTTCTCAGATGTAGGGGACAGGCTGAGCGGGTGGGGGGCACTGGAGGAGCAGGACACAAACATCTTGCTCAGTCCACGGTCGCAGAGAAGCAAACATCTCTGGGTTTTGAAGCATGTTTCATTTCACCATCGCACTGGGAAGTGGTGTGGGGGAGTGGAGACAGTCTGGAGCGGGAGTGGGGAGGAGAAGGGATGGAGCTGGGAGGTGATGGGGTGGGATCCACCAGGGGAAGAGAGGAGCCGTTTGAAGGAAGGGTTTTTTGAGAGGCTTGAGGGTTATTTTCTCCTATCCCATCATCCTATTTCTGCAACAACAGTTAAAATTAAAAAACCAGCCCTCAGCCCCTGCCACCCACAGAGGCCGAAGTGAGAGGAGGCTTTGGTTTTACCATGAACCTGTGGAAAGGCGTGTGGCTTTATGTGGTGGGGTTTTGGTAGCAGAGGGGGGCTACACGGATAGTCCCTGTAAGAAGCTGCCAGAGGCTTCCCTGGCTCCAAGTCAGACCTGTCCTGGCAAAGGCTGAGCCGATCAGCGCCTCTGTTAATAATATATTTAAGAAGGGACAGAGAAACCTGTGCCATGCGGGACCTGAAGTAAAGAGAGGGGGAAGGTGCGGGTGGCTGTCTGCACTGGGCCACCCCACCCCTGGGCTGGTCAGGGAGAGAGGAGTGGGATGTGAGAGAGTTCTCAACTACACACACACCAAGGTCAGTGACGATGGAGCGGGAGGAGCTGTGCTGGAGCTGAGATTCCCCTGCAGCCTGTGAAGAGTAACGGTGGAGCAGTCCATGCCAGAGCAGGTGGCTGTACTCGAAGAAGGCCATGACTCTGTGGGAAGCCTGTGCTGGAGCTGGAGATTAACAGTGAGGCGGTTGGTGAAAGATGTGGAGGACCCCACACTGGAGCAGGTGGCTGCACTCAAAGAAGGCCATGACTCTGTGAGAAGCCCACGCTGGAGCAGTCTGTTGGTGAAGAACTGCACCTCGTGGGAAGGATTCTTGTCGGAGAAGTTCGTGAAGAACTGTCTCCCGGGGGAAGGGACCCCATGTTGGAGCATGGGAAGAGTCCTCTCCCGTGAAAAGAGAGAGTCTCTCCTCCCCCTGAAGAGGAGGGAGCAGCAGAAACAACATGTGGTGAACTGACCTGCAGCCCCCATTCCTCATCCCCATGCACCACTGCAGAGCACGAGGTAAAGAAATTGGGAGCAAAGCTGAACCTGGGAAGAAGGGAGGAGTGGGGAAGGTGTTTTTAAAACCTAGCTTTGTTTTTTGTTGTGCCCTCTGGTGTGATTGGTAACAAATTAAATTGATTTTTTTTTTTCCCCCATGTCAAGTCTATTTTGCCCGTGACCATAATTGGTGAGTGATCCCTCCCGGCCCTTGTCTCGACCCTTGAGCCTTTCATGACACTTTCTCCTCTTCATCCCACCGGTGGGGAGGAGTGAGCAAGCGGCGGTGTGGTGCTTAGTTGCCAGCTGGGCTAAACCAGGTGAGCTTGGAGAGCTCTCCAACGGAGAGCTGCAACTAAAGCACGGGGACAAGGCAGAGCGTTAGTGCAGCTGGACCCCGCAGCAGCCTGTGCTGAAGCAAACAGCTCTGGACCATGGGGAACAGCATGAAAAGGATGCAGCTGAGTGCCCCTGGCTTGTGGAAGGGCGAGGGACAAGTGAAATGTGCTGGCTGGGGGCAGCTTGGAGCGTGCCGGGCATCTGGCACTGCATCCCCTCCAAATCCGGCAGTGCTCAGCACAGGGATAGAGGCAGGAGGCAGCAGGTCCTTGGTGCTCCATCCGCGGGCAGTTCTTGCCCCCTCCCAGCTCCAACACCCCTCCAGCCCACTGGTGAGATGTTTCCAGCAGCACACGTGGCAGCTGTGGCCCCTGGGCTGCGGGCAGGGGAGGAGAGCGCTGCTGTAAGCAGATGAGTATCAGCTCGCTCCCGACAGGAGGAAGTCGCAGACTTACTGCGATCTCGGAGAAGTGGCCTCTTAAGCCAGCGGTGGGTCAAGTGGTTAAGGCAGAAGATTAGCGAGCGAGCTCTCCTTCCACCGGTGGGAAAGCAGGGATGCAGCCTGTGGTCCAAACACCAGCATCTCCCGAGAAGATACAGGAGGAGGGAAGAGGACAGCCTTAGTGTCCCCTTTGCTCTGTCGTGAGGCACCATGTGGGCACCTCTCCTCCTCGTTGTGGACTCTTGGGAGGAGACCAACAACCATGAGGTGTTTGCGGCACGTGCCAGTGGGAAAAGAAAATCCCGTGGCTCATTCAGCACAGGCTCATTTAATAGACAAAGTAAATAGGAATCGCCCCCCCCAACCCCGACCCCGGTGCCAAAATTTGCAGTTGTGAGAAGAGCCGGAGTGCTGCGGAGCTGGGGTATCTCTGGGTGACATTTACAGAGCTCAGCTTTCATCGCAGCTTGAAAAAAATCCCTTGCACAGAGATTATCTCCACACTGATCTGGATTGTCTTGTTCAGCTTTGGCCCTCATCCTAGATGGACAACGAGCAGAAAACTTGGCCAGTGGCCTGAGGTCTGTGGCCTCCTCTGCATGAGCTGGGAAGAGGAGGAACAGTCTCCAAGGTACTTGAGAACTTGCAGCCTTGGGGGGGGCTAAAGGGATGGAGCTGGGGGTGGGGTGGGGCAAAGCTTAGTTCTTCCCCTGAGGATTTAATACTGCACCCATGGCCAACGGAGCCTTTGAGACAGGTATTCCCTGCTCTGTGCTGCTCTGGTGGGGAGATCTCTGCTTTGCATCAAAGAGGATCAACCCATGGTGGCTCCACCCTGGGGTCTCCCCTGGCACCCTTTGCTGAAGGGTTTTTTTGGAGCTGGGGCCGGGCAGGAAAGGGGGGGGACACGGGGGGGTG